ACTTGTACTTCTCATTGTTGCAACGGATCCACCTGTATTCTTATTTAAATGACTTGGTTTTCCCTTTCCCCTCCATAAATTATAACAACATCAAATACAGTGAAAGCAGGGGTTATACTGTGGGGGAGGGACATACAAAGCAACAAAGAAATAATCTTATAAATGCATTAGAAACAATCACATGAAAGATAAAAAAACATTTGAATACATATCTTAGGGTTCATTTCCCTAACATCACCTTATCTGACCTTTTCTGCTTGACTCAGACATATATACTAGGTATTGTAAATAATGGAAACCATGGTACTTATGTTTCTTTGGGCTTGGCTTACTTCATTTAATATAATTTTTTCAAAGTGGAAAGGCTGTTTGTAAAGATAAAATACAGACATGGTGCTGGGAAAGGGGCTCAGTAGTAAAGCACTAACTTAGCAAGCCTGGGGCACTGGGAACCATCCCCAGCACAATGCAGAAGGGAAGGAGAAATGGATGGAGGAAGGTAGGGACAGTGTACATAGTTTCATTCATTTAAATAATGTTTGATTACTTTGTAAAATTGATTTCATCTCTTCTTTTTGCCTCATCCTAATTCCAGACTGAGAAATAAGTGACGATTGAAAGTCATGTCTACTATGGAGAGCATGGCAACTTCACAGATTACTACATGGTTAAGAATCTATACATCTGAGTTATCCTTTATTTTTAACTCAAACACAATCACTGGATTTTTCTCCTTTCATTGTGAACTCTGTTGAATATAATCCTAGCTACTCAGGAGGTTGAGATCTGAGGATTGAAGTTCAAAGTCAGCCCTGACAGATCAATGGGAAACACTCTTATCTTCCATAAGCCAGCAAAAAATAAAGGCAGAACTGGGGGTATGGCTCAAGATGTAGAGTGCCAGCATTCAGTGAAAAAAATCAAGGTAAGAAGAGGAGGCCCTGTCTTCAAAGCCCAATACCAACACCAACTAAATAAGTATTCACCTAAATAGTACAAAATTAATTATATAAAAAGCCAAGAGAGATGAGATTTTAAAGGAAATTGAAGGTAGCTTCTGGATAGTAATTTTATTGGTAAAAAGTAACTGATAATTTTAACTATTAAAAGCTCAGGAACTAAGACTATATTCTTGACCTTGATTTCTTTGCCTGAGACTCTTTCTTCTAAGGGGAAGAATATCTGCCAAGGAACAGGATGTTATCTGTGGGGTTGTGCCAAATAAAGAAAAGGAATGGATGGTCAGCTGTGAAGTCTACAATGTGTGGTCTTGAGAAAAAGGTGGCAACAACTCCAGTGGCAGCTGCTGCCTCTGTACCCTCTTCATTCACTTCCACAAAAGATTTGTGGACAATATTTGATATGAAAAGATCTCTGCCTCCTGACATGCCAGACAGATCAGCCTTGCTACTAATAAAGAGATCCTCTACTCCCAGGCGAGCTAGGTCAGAGTTGAGCACATAGGTTTCTTCCAGTTTGAATCTGGGCAATTTGACCTTGACCTCAGGCTTTTTCAGCTTCACAAGTTTGGTCCACTCACGAAGTTTTTCTAGAGTAAATTGCTTCTCAATCTGAAATTAGAATAAGGCAAAAGGAAAAAGTGAAATGGATTTTACATAAGCAAATAAGCACCATTCAAATGAATGAGCATACAATAACAATTGCTAATAGGTTTCCTTTGTTTTGTGCTCAAACAGATTCTATTAGAAAGATTTCATTTTTGTTTGCCAATTGGTGCAATAGAACAGAAATATGTTCTAAGCCAATAGGATTCAAGTACAGGAACTTTGAACATGGAACAGATCATCTATCTACAATGGAAATAATATGCAAAGTTCACATTAGAAAATAGGCCTAACTCTCCATCAAGCATGTACCCATTGAAAACTTAGTCTATATGAATTATAGTAAGAATAAATAATGTTAGGATATGATGAAAACATACACTGAAATGTCAGTGTATATTCTTCAATAAAATAATCCTCATCTTATATACTTTTCTCTAACGCAATTGAAGAGACTTATCATGACTGTTACATATATTACTTTAGTATCAATCTGTAAACTTTCCTGATCACATCAGCCCACTGAAAATGCTTGGCCATCTTATCAATTTCAACTTAGGATTTCTGTATGGAGATAAAGTTCAGAGGCAGAGCACTTGCCTAACATGCACAGGACCCTGGGTTTGATCTCCAGCACTGCTGATAATAATACAGGCTCCTGTCTATAATTGAAGCTCCTCAAATGACTGAGATATGAGGATTGAGGTTTGAAGCCAGCCCAGGCAGAGAAGTCCGGAATATTCATCAATAATTAAGTACCAAAAAGCTTGATGTAGAACTGTGGCTCAAGTGGTACAACAATAGCCTTGAGCAAAAAAATAACACAGGAAACTTACACAGGTGCTGAATTCAAGCCCCAGGATCAGCAACGAATCATCATCATCATCCTCTTCATAACAAAAAGAGTGATGATGGTGATGATAAAATTAAAGCAGGGCCTCAAAGAAGTAAAGGCTGATAGGTTGTATTTACAAAGAAATGGAAAGCATTGGCATTGGATGTCAGATAATGTCAGTGACAAATACCAAGCACCTACCATGGAACTTACACACAAGAACAATTGCCTAAGCATAGCAGTATAGCAAAAGGAAACAGGAATCAGGATATTGGCAGTGGGTTACCTTCCTCAGACCTGTGGACTCATCCTCAATGTCATCAGGCAGCAGAATGACCATGCTGAGCTCCTCGCCCTGGTAAGGCAGCTCCAGCACCCGGCACTTCAGGTCCTGGATGTAGCCAAAAGGAAACTTTTTCTCCTGATACATCATCTTCACTGTTTTCGTGTCTTTCTGAAACATTAAGAAAAATGCCCTAATTATGTTCTGTTCTTTTACAGCAAAGAGTAATTTAAAGGCTGGAGTTGTGGTTTCACAATAGAGTAAGGGGAATAGCAAATGGGACACTTGGATTTCATGGCCAGTGAACACACACACACACACACACGCACACGCACGCACACACACACCTCAACTCAGAAGGCATTTCTGGACATTGGCATCTCCTGACCTTGTTCAGTCTGAACGGGGCATCGGTTGTGTCTTCTTTCATGAATTTCTCCTGCCACTTTCCCTTGAAGTAGATGGCATTCACTAGCACAAGTTTGGTCATGGTATCAACCATACCTGAAGCAAGTAGGTCTGGAATTTTCCCTGAGAAGATAAAGTGAGCCTACTGAAAACTCTGTTGGAATTCCAAGTTTGAACAGACAATTTGGTTGCACTGAAATGTGATTCAAACGTATATGCTCCAATGTATTTTCCTTTAACTCAGTATTAACGAAGCCCAACTGGTTCTTTTGACTTTAAACACAGCAATGTGAGAGACAGACCAGGGTGGCATGCAAATAGGTCATTGATGGGGCTTGGAGAGCAGCTCAGGAGGAGAGCAGAGCATGTACATAGCATGCACGAGACCTGGGTTTCATTCCCTGTATGAAAACCAAAAGTTCATTAAAGCCAATTAAATGTCCTGAAAGGCTAAAATTAGGGAAAACGCTCCTTTCCTGGATTGTATCAAATCAAGAAGCATTAATTTATGAGTGGAAATTACTGAAAAATATCCTTAGTGAAAATGTTAATAATCACTTGTAAATGCTTTTCAAATCTGCTAAATGGAAGCCTACTTTAACAAATAATTTTGATAAATATTCACAAGGTAAAACAATCATTCTCCTGAACAAAATCTCTACCCATATTATGGGTAAAGGAGGCAACATTTTCCAGTAGCAGTGGACTGGTGTTTAGGAATTTTTTGGGTAGATTCACTCACATAGGAACAATAGTAGATGAGAGTTGCTTTTAATAAATTATTTGACCCTGATAATAAGTCTACCCAACCCACTGCTCCTGATTTACCAGACAAGAGGTTGGCAAAAGTATTGATTGCCACAATCGCTTTTAAATATCGATTTTATGTATTCCATGAAATTTCATATGAATATTAACTACTTGGAGGTAGGCACTTTATTCCTTTTACTCTGTATTCAGTGTTAGTTTCAACTTTTTTTTTAAATTTTATTTTATTTGTGAACATACTGTACAGAGGGGTTACAATTACATGGGCAGGATTATGCGTACTGGTTTCAACTTTAAAATGGAGTTTATATGACTGACAAGAAGAAAATATTTAGTTGCTTCAGTTCCCCACTCATGGATTGCTAATAAATGACAGTTTGTCCACAAATGAGCATTACAAAACTTATGTCCAGGAAGTGCCATCTAAAGGGAAGTGTGTATGAATCAGGATTTGGGAAGGGCTGGGATAAAGAAATAAGATGCAAGGAAGGAGGGTGGATGACAGAAAGGGCCTGCACAAGATGAGTCTACTATTGCTAGGAAGTGGCCTTATGAATTCCAGATTTTCTCCCCAGCCCTTATCAGTACTGGAAAGTGGTGGAGTCTTTCATAGGTGGGACTAAGTGGAAAGTGTTCAGACTACAAGACAGGAAAGGGAGGGATAACCTTCAAGAGATTGTGGGACACTGGTCTCTTCCTTTCCCTTGTCCTTCCTACTTTCTTTTCTTATCCAGCCATGAAGTAAATTAACTCCTCTGCCACATGTTCCTGCCATGAGGAACTGTGTTGCCACTGGAACAATCAATTAGGGGCTGACTAAACAACCTTGTCTTTATACAAGCTATCTCAGGGAGTTGTTACAGTAAGGAAATGCTGGCTAACAGAGACTCCATGATGCCCAGTCTCTTACCTTCTGTCTGCCCTTTGACCCATTCATTTATTGCCTTCCTGGACTCCTCAGAGCCATGCTGAAAATCCACACTGGCCAACTCAGCACCATACATTTTCTGAGTTGAAGCCAAGAACTCCTATGTCAAAAATCAAGAAGAAGTCAAGAATTACCCCTCCTATGTACAGGAATAATTTTCCAGAATTCTGGAAAGTGAAAGAATTTAGCAGAAAAGGCTACATTTCATTGAACACAAAAATTCTAAACCCTACACTTTTTATTTTCTTCAAAAACATAGTAACATTACATTTTCTATCTCAGCCATTAAGGGGTCATTGCAGTAGGGCTAAGTTTCATACACTCTGGTGCTATATAAAGTTTACCAAATTCTTTTCAATGCTTGGGCTGACATTTTCCTAAGTAGGCAAATAACAATAGTACTTTGGAAGGGAATGACAAGATTCACTCTTGCTTTAGTAGAATAACAGGACTGAGCTTTTTACAAAGCAAATGAAAGTCCAAAAAAAGGAAGTGCTATATGCCACACATTCTCATTCTGTATTGTTTGTATAAATATTAAAACTACTAAAGTGCCTTTTGTGCCTTGATTTTTACAGGAAAGCATCTCAACTATCCAGTGGAATTATGCAGTATGGAAAGTAAAGCACTTACCGGGAGGAAACTATATGTTTTTTCTCCATATAATCTGTTAGCAACTTTCAGAATATAGGGACTTCCATGTTTATTAATCGCAGCATTCAGATCCTGAAATCTGGAATGAATATCCTCAACTTCATTGAAATGAAAGGTCTGAAAGAAAGAAAACGTTCTACAGATAACCATTTGTTTTGAAATTTCTAAGTGAATCCCTAGGTTGGCTTCCACCATATTATAGTGTTTTTATTCTAAATTTATTCATTTCTGTGTGTGTGTGTGTGTGTGTGTGTGTGTGTGTGTGTATTGGTATTGTGGCTTAAGCTCAGAGCCTAGTTATCTCCCTTAACTGCTCTGCTCAAGGCTTGCCTCTATGGCTTTAGCCACCAGAGCTTCACCTTCCCAGAGAACAGTGCCATCTGATGTATGGTAGGCATGTTAGAAAGTTCTCCACTTTTACCATTCTTTCCTAGGCTTCAAGAGAAGGCAGTGTTCTCTCAGAATTCTGGAAAACAGCACATCATGGAAGACGGGGAAGCACGAGTGTCCTTTCTCTTGCTGAAACAGTCATCTGTTGGTACCTTTTTGCCAGGGGCTTGGTCCCACTCACCAACCTGCCCAGCCTCCCACTCCCCACCTGCCACAGGAATCTTGTGCTGCTCCTTAGTCCTGAGTCCTGAGAGGGGATCTCAGGCACGGAGTCAAGCTTTGGGAGCAGGCTAGGCAGTTGTCTTTTTTTCCATTCCCTAAAAGAAGGCAATACCACCAACTTCTCATTGTCTTTTGTGTTTCCCATATCTCCTCCCTCGAAGGTTTAAAGGTGATTCCATAGAACAGGCATTACTTATGAGTACTTAGATATCATATGCAAAGCACAACTGGATACTCCTAGACAAGGAGACGTGAGGACCCAGGAAAGCTGAGAAATTCAGTCTTGGAAATAAAGCCCTTGGTGGCACAGGAACATCAGTGGATTTGCTCACTGCTATATCCTAGGCAAACCAATACACATTGCCTGAGGATCTTCATGAAAGGCTGCTCTTGGGCTTTTAGGAAAACCTGACCTAAACATGGACCATTGGTAAACACAGAACAAACCATGGTTTCAGAAAACACATTAAGAGTTCAGAGATGCCACTTTTTGACCCCAGTTCTAGGTTTAGCAGAGAGTAGCAGAGAGGAGACAGGTTTCCTGCTGTTGACCTTGGAGAGCTGTGCTGCAGTGTTGCCTCTGCACCCCAGAAGAACCATGGCCAAGGCAGATGAAATGCTGAAGGGAGAGATGAAGATGTTTCCTGTTGGGTTGTTTTCACTCAGAGCCAGGAACAGGTCCAGGGTGAAATGGGTGTTGGCAGTGCTCAGTTGCTCCATGGTGAAAGCTGGAACACAAAGTGGAGGCTGCAGGCTGCCCACTGCCCGTGCCCCCACGAGGGATGCCCCCTGGCCCTGTCATCATCTCAGCTTGTGCCACCCACCACTTAACACCCTGGAACTTGGACCTCAGCTCATCCCCTCCCAAGAGCACAAGAATTCTCTCCCATGTACACAAAGGTGGGGCTGTTCTTGAGCCCTGACACAATGCTAGATTCCTGCTGTTCTCACCTGCTGGACAGGTGCCTCTGACAACCCAGCTCCCCAGCTCCCCAGCTCCTCCAAACTGCTTGGTTTGGGAGAACACACATAACTGTCTCTCTGGTACATGTCTCATTCATTTAGAGAATGAACCCCTTGCCTGCATTTGCCTGAAATAAGAATGCTTTGACTAAAAGATCATAGCCATCTGCTACCCATTAAAACAATTTCTGGGAAAGATGGAATTATAATGAGCAATAGAATTCATTTGGTCATTCCTAAACATCAAGGTCCAAAGTCTTAGTGGGTGTAGAAGTTGTGGGTTTGGGAAGGCAGCCTATCTAGGGTCAGGGAAGGCTGTTAGGCAGGGAGGCTGGACACAATGTCCTCTTCCCTTGTGCAGGGAAGGTAGTGTTTGCAATGGTAGGTTCTGGCTGGGGATCAGGGTCCCTATGGATCAACCTTGGACCCCTCTGGACTCTTACAGACTGAGTTTCCCAAAGCAGAGCAAACAACATCCCTGCTCAGCTTACTTCTCACCTTTGCTGAGGAAAGACCTCTGGATGGCACTGGCTTCCTTTCCTTTTCTGGGGCAGAAGGGAGAAGCAGACCCGCCCTCTGCTTCTGGGAAGTCCCACACAGCTCAGCCAGGAAGGAGCTACATGGAAAGAAAACCGGATCTCAGCTTTGGGTCTGCACTGGCCAGCATCACCTTCCCCCCTCCGTGTCTGCAAGCCCGGCCTGGCAGTGCGCCCAGGGCCTGGAGGCTGCTTTGCCAGGGGATCTCCAGAGACAATCCTCACCAGCTGGGATCATGCACTGGGGCAGGGGCTAGGGGGCAGGGTAGATTGCTGTTGGCTTAGAGCAGCAAGGAGTGGGCGCCTCTAGGAGCCCTTGAGGGGCTCAGCGGGGTCCGCCTTTCCCTCCCAGGCGACCTCCCTTGTGGCAGCCTTCCTTACCCTCTGCACAGCTGCTTGGGTTCCCAGGATGTCGGTCCAGGAGGAGCCTGGATCAGGCCTGCAGCCTTTATAGTCCCTGGAAGGGGTGTGTCTTCATGGCAGGCCCCAGGGACTCTGCCCTTCCCCATGGTGACTGCTGAGAGGCGGGGCTTTCAGGGTTGGCTAAGTAACTGCCTAAGTATACAAGGGCTGCATGACTCCTGCCTTTAGGCCATCACCACTTTTCTAGACAGTTCCTCAAATTTCTGCCAGGAACTTTAAGCTGTTGCTAAGGTGAATGATGGTGATAAAATGTGTTACTTCTTATATGGGAAACTATGTACTCCAAATGCTAGGGTAGGATTTTTTGGGGGGGAGGCTGGTAGTGGAGGGGAAATACAATTTGAGGCCTTCTGTGCAAACTGGGGGTGTAGGGACTGGGGTGAGAGGAGTGGCCACAATACCACAGAGTCCGTTCCAAACATCTGACTTCATTGTCTTCCACCTAATATTTTCCAAGGACTGCAGTGGCTGGGTGACTCACACTGTGTGAACAAATATTTTTTACTCAATCATGCAATCCTCCTCTAAATATGAAAATAAGCTGTCAAGATTGAGTAGCACAGGCCACAACTGTTTCCCTACAGAAAATCTTTCCCCGTGTAAAATCAGTTTGACTCCTTTTTTACATCTGGATATGTAATTCCACCAAGTTAATTCTTAAGGGCACGAAACTCTGTTGCCTTACTTCTTTTCTTGCTTCAAAACCTCATCATAATAAATGGCCAAAAAGAAAAATCTTGTTGTTATGTCATCTTTTAGTGAATATGTGAATTTGTTTCTAGCTATGTGTTAGTGGCTCCTTCATGTATTCTAGCTAGTCAGTCTGGGCAGAAACATCCTTGAGACTCTTATATCTCCAATTAACCAGCAAAAGCCAGAAGTGGAAATGTGGTTCAAGTGACAATATTTCTGCCTTGAACAAAAATGCCAAGCAAGACCTGGAGGCCCTGAGTTCAAGGCCCTGTACCAGAAAACCTTTGCCTTTCAAAATCAAAAACAAGGAACAAACTGAAAACCTATGAGATGATCACAGTAATGGGTGACAAAAATATTCCCTATAAAAAGCCCTTGAAATAATCCCTTTAAAAAGTCTGAATAGTTGTGGAGGTGGGAGGGAAGGGAAGGTAGGGAGAAAACAAAGGAGGAGGCAACAATGCTCAATAGGAAATGTACTCATTACCTTGCTCATGTAACTGTAACCCCTCTGTACAGCATTTTTACAATAAAAATGCATTTTAAAACTCTGAATATGCTAAGTAAACATATTTAAAAATTAAGCTTGCACAGTGTTTTATAGTGTATTAAAACAAACCAATATTTCTTTTTAAAAAAAATAAACAGTTTTTGGTGTTGGCACTGGGGCTTGAACACAGGGTCTTATTCAGTTTGGCTTCTTTCCTCAAGGCAGGTGTTTTACCACTTGAGCCACACTTCTGCATCCTGATTTTTGCTTATTAATTAGAAATAAGAGTCTCAAAGACTTTTCTGGGCAATCTGACCTCAGGATCAGAAGACCAAGGGCAAAAAGCTGTTTTCTTTAAAAATATAGTTTTATTGTTATTATTCAGTGCGACGGACCAGCTCGGCCAGAGCACTGGAACCGACGGGACAGGGATCTCGGGATAGGTGGGCAAGGAGTCAGCGAAGTGACAAACAGACACAGACTCAAAAGAGTTGCATCTGAGTGTATCTTTATTAAGGAGAATTAACATTTTTATACAGTGTGTGATTGTGACATAGATTCTTTGTTTATTTAAGCACGTAATCAATTTTTTAAAGGCAAAGTATTGATGAATTACATGAAAATTGATGACTATCCCACCAACTGTTTAAGCTAAGTGGTGTGAAACAAGTCTAGCATATTGTTTAATAGAATGCGTCATCTATTCAGCCTTTTTTATGGTTAATAATTAACAAATCTAAGACAGGGCTGTACTTATATTGTACTCTTTTTATTTTTATTTTTATCCAACTATTTTCATCTTTATAAGCTCCTGTATAAGGAAATGGTTCTTCGGTTGGTTCAGGAAATATGATGTTCCTAACTTTATATTTTGTGTGAAACCACCATCTATTCCCTATAACGTAAGTTGGACTAAACTTAATCATAACTGTTGGGAGAATCTTTCTTTTTCTTTTATAATCAGAGGTTCCCCCCCTTTTTTTTAGAACTCTCTGAACTACTGGGGTAATTCTTTCTAACTTAGTTTGATTCATTGATTTTGTCTGTTGGACATATCTGGAAATTTTAAGTCTCTATATTTATTATGCATGAGCTGCAAAACCGCTTGTGAAGTTGTAGGAGTTTCTGGGGGCAACATCACATCAGATGATAGATTGATTGGGGCATTGCCCACATTTAATCTTTGGTTTTAGTCTTTATTACTTAGAGAAGCCATCTCTATTGGACTGGAAAGATACAACATGCTCTGTTCACAGATCAATAGAAAAATAGCCAAAACGAGAATAAAGGCAATGAATATACAGCCAAGAAGAATATAGTAAGAATAAAGGTAGAGGCTATACAGGTGCAGCCAAGTGTATGGGAAGCCTTGAACCAACACCCCCTTCCTGCAGGCATGCTTCCTTGAAGCTCTTTGTCTAAGGCGATCTCTCATGCAGACTCCACAGAAGGTGGCGTGGCACCCACTGGCCACAGAAAGATGTCCACTCAGCTGGAGATACCAGGAACCACTGGAAGTGCGTTTGACCTTGTTTCTCTGGCCAGAGACTATTCATTGAATTTGCAGCCCCTTATTCTGTTGCCAATGTCAAATCAGAAGCCATCTATTCACCACAGGCAGCTTTATTAGATGTTCAAATTGGTTATGGACGTGCCCTGCCCACCTGCGCCAGCCTCTCTTTGCTGAACCCAGCTAAGGACTCCTTGCAGACACATCCTCATGGCTGCTTTGCCTGTTGTGATCTCTGCTCCTTTCCAAACGCTTGCTTCGGCAGCTTCCCCTCCATTGTGCCTGTGCCTCTCGGACTGGGTTCCCATGGTGGTTGGATATTGAGCTGCTTGTTAGAGGAGGAAACAAGGGTTGTTGTATACAATGGCAGGCCTGAACTGGCCCCGAGGCAGGGCAGACGCTCTCCCAGGTGGGACTTGTCAGGGCACAGGGCAGGCATCCTGCCACTGGGCCCTGGGTCACTGTGGTGAGCAGCAGTCACACTGGAACTTCTCTTTCTCAGAGAACAACGGGTTAAGTCTGACCAGATTGTCTTCTCTAGGGAATCCGGTTCTCCACCAACTCCTGGGGGATGCCTGGGGCTTGAGTCTATGCCAGGCTCCACTCCTGTCCAGAACCTTTCATTCCAGAAGTTTCAACCAAGTGTATGTGGCGTGGCAATTCAGGTGTTATTATTCAGGTGTTATTCTGGTTCACATGCAGGTAATGCACACATTTCTTTTTTAGACAACGTCACCCATTCCTTCACTTCTCCAGTTTCCCCCTCCCATCCCTGCCCATAAAGTTGCATGGTTCATTTAACACATAATTGTGTCCTGAATACCATGAGTACATTTGTTCACCATTCTTCTCTCCCATTCTCTGTCCCCCTTTTGTCCCTATTAAGAAGCAGAAAAAATGAAAAACACAAAAGAACAACAACAAAAAAAAAAACATGCGAACACCACTACCACTACCACTGAAAAAATAAGTAAATAACCCCTATTTTCATTTTCTGTAATTCATTTTGATAAATAGTATTTCATGTGTTCAGCATTATGCCTCTGGGTTAATTCCTCCACTACTGTCTTCTTTTGGTCTCCCTGAGTGCGAATGCTTAGAGACTTGTATAATTTATTATATCCCTGCAGTTTAGATCAAGCTTCCACATATGAGAGAACACATGTGCTTAGATGACCTCACAACACCATTTGTTCTAGCTCTCTCCATTTCCCTGCAGAGGACATTATCTACTTTTCAATGATGAGTAAAATTCTTTTTTGTGTATGTTCCACATTCATTTGATCCACTCATGTATTCTAGGGCATCTGGGTTGTTTTCCTAACTTGGCCATTGGAAAAGGCTGTTTTTAAAGATAAAATCCAAGACATGGTACTGCAACTGCTTTTCCAGATTTCCGTTCATCAGTCTGGAGTGCTGTGCCCTCCTTGCAATGGAAAGTCTTGAAAATAACTGCTTGCAGTTGTGTAATGTTCTGAACACAGATGCACATTTCAATGTACATTCCCTCAAAGCAGGAAATCCATCACTGCTATGTGATGTTTACAGAGCTCAAACAGACAGAAGGTGTATGTAGCTTTCAGCTCATCATCACTTTCTAGCTGAACGCTTTCATGTTGTAAGTTATCAAGCATATGAGCTGGTTGTACATTGAATGCTCTAGCAAAGAGGTTCAGTTCCATTCCTTTACTTTTCATCTCCTTCTATCTTTAATTCACCAACTTATTCAAGTGCTTAGATGGCAATCGTCCTTCCGGAGTGGGGAAATAAATCATGTTTTGTTTTGTTTTGTTTTTGAGTTGCACTTTCCACAGCCTTTATTTAGTTTCAAATGATTTCACATTTGAAAACAGGGAGCTGAGAAGCTATTTGAGGTCCTGCAGCTTAATGTTCAGTTCCGAGAGGTGCTTGGTACACCTGAACCCAACATCTTATAACCACTGCTATCAAGTAGTTTCTTGACAGGCTTTTCCTTTTCACCATGATTCGCTTGACTTTGTCCCACAGTTTGTAAAACCTTGTAAGCATGTTCCCAAGACACACTCACTGTAATTCACAGTAATAAATAACATTACCATACTAGAGTCAAGAACATTCAGTCACTCTGTACACTGACTAAACCCTCTGCTTTTGATAAAATTTATTCATGACACTGTGGTTGATATCACATTGTTCACCAGCCTTAACCAAAAAAGCCAAAGGAGAGCCCACGGCCTGAGTTTAAGCCTTGATACTGGCAGTAAACAACAAAAACAACAAACAAATGAATGACAACATCACATTGT